TTGCGTTTACTTAATCCCCGCCTTAAAAAGACGCGGAATTTTGTTTGGTTTTTTAACGTTATTCGCTTTAACTTTTATGAATGGCCTTTATCTTGTCCTGTTCAAAGATCTTCTGAGATAATATAAGCGAGAATAAAAAATATTTATTCTTGAATTTCTATAGTAAACCGAATAAATGATATAGTGTACTCGAACTGTAATCATCCGAGGTTCTTTGAAGACACATCAAAGCGCTTTGGAGTGATCAAAGTGACGTATCTATAACACAAGACTTATCTTTGAACATTTGCTTTATTGAACGAGTCCGATTCGCTACCCTTTGAAGTGTGATAACCGGAGTGCATTACCGCAGCAAAATTTTTATAAATGTTGTGCTTTAGAGAGTCGAGAGTATAGCAGATAATTAGTCCATCGTGAGCAGAAATTTGTCCACTAATAGCAAAATTCGTTCAAATTATAGTTTTAAAGTTATTAGGAAAAAACAGATTTTGCTGGGGTAATGTTTGAAACATTACCCCAGCAAAATCTGTTTTTTCCTAATAACTTTAAAACTATAATTTGAACGAATTTTGCTATTAGTGGACAAATTTCTGCTCACGATGGACTAATTATCTGCTATACTCTCGACTCTCTAAAGCACAACATTTATAAAAAACTAGCGGCCGCCCGCGACTTCGTACGCGTGAATCCCGTTTTTCCCGCTAATTCCCGTTCCCGTGGGAATTTCGGGAATTCCTTTCTTAGTGCACCTCTACGGTACCTAAGCTACGTCCCTTCCAAATTTCAAGTGCCTACGTTTAGCCGTTTAGGCTGTGAGTTGATCTGTCAGTCAGTCAGTCAGTTTCTCCTTTTATATATTTAGATTTGCTGCGGTAATGCACTCTGATAACCGCTACAGAGGAAGCTCTAATAGCGCTCTAGATATGAAATGGACTTCACTTTGTTTAATATTCCGAGCAGATTTATTATTTTGCGAGTTTATTAGGTACCTACTCCTTCTGGTTTGATCTTGTTTATTGCAGGTACTGAGATCTATTTCTATTCTAGCTGGTAGAGTTATCTTTATGTATTTTAATATGTTTGTAAAATGTAAAGGTGTACCTATGTAGGTAAAAGCCGACCCTAGTCAGTCAAATCGTTTCAGTCAGTCTACATGTTAATTGCAAAAATAAAACAACTCATTCTTAGACTACGAGTACATTTGGTTCCTAATAGATATTTTAACGAGAGTCCAGTGCAACTACGATGAGCCATTAGGACTCGTACATGTAAAGTGTGTATTTTTGCTGTCATTAGGTCTCGTAAAAAATTACTTAACGCAAAATAAGTCTCTGCCACCGGCACAGCTAACCAAATGGCTGGTCATCATCATTATCATTCGGCATTACATGTTTTTGCAGCTACCGCGTAATCCAAGGCCGGCGTTCTGTGAATAGCGTTTTTGCGGCAAACGACAATTATGCGCGGGCGCATTGAAAACGCAAAGAATAATTGCCTCGGATCGCGCTACCTGCGCGGTAATACTATCTGCTGGATATGGGGATATTATTTTACGCAAACCGAGCGGTTTTGTTTAAAGCTCAAGTTCAATCAATTCTGCACAATGGATTTGCAAATTCCGTTGAAAATTCTCATAAGATAGGATTAGGTACCTAGTTTATGAACCAATAACGTGGCAAGATAATTGTAATATTCTGTAAACTAAAGATAGGGACTATAAAACTTAAAGATGTTGTCACGAATTCTTTTAAATACGGTACCTTCTAAACCGTCGAGCGAGCCCAAGTTAACGCGTCAACTCTTTTCGGTTGCGTGACATCCGTCAGGGGCAAAAACAAGTCGCTGCGGCGACCTTGCCATTGTCTCGAGACCACTCATTTGAAGCTTTTTGTGCGGCGCGGCCTGGGAACGCCGCCCTTCGGGCCGCTTGACGATTTAATAATACCGTAGACAGCCCCGAACTCGACGCCGCATAACTTTGAATATTTAGCTAAGTTCCCCGCCCAAAGGGTTATCAGCTCCGACCTTCCATTCTCACGAGTCCTCTCTTCGTTTCAGATGGTGGCATTCGCGGACGTCCTGTCGAGCGGCTGCTCGCCGCACGCGCGCTTCCTGCTGTGCTCGGCGTTCGCGCCGCTGTGCTCCGAGCAGGTGTCGGGCTCCGTGAGCGCCTGCCGCGCGCTGTGCGAGGCCGTCGGCGCCGACTGCGGCGCGCGCCTGCCGCCCGGGGCGCTCGACTGCGCCGCCTTCCCGCGCCGCGCCGACAAGCGCCTGTGCATGCGGCCGCCCAACGCCAGCGAGCCCGCGCCCGAGCCGCCGCCGCCGCGCTGGCCCTTCCGCGACCACGAGCCGCGCGACCACGCCTGCCCGCCCGCGCACGCGCGCGCGCCCGCCGGCGACTGCTGGCCGGCCTGCGCGCAGCACGCCGCCTACGGCGCAGCCGACAAGCGCGCCGCCGAGATCTGGATGACCGCGCTGGCCTGGCTCTCGCTGCTCTCCACGTCCTTCGCGCTGCTCACGTTCTGCGCGGAGCCGGCGCGCTACCGCTACCCCGAGCGGCCCGTCGTGTGGACGGCCGCCTGCCACGCGGTCGTGGCGCTCGCGCACGTGACGCGCGGCTGGCTCGGCCCGCGGCTCGTCTCCTGCGCGGGCCCGACGCTCGCCGTGGACGGGCTCGCGTCGCCGACGTGCGTGGCGTTCTTCTCTCTGACGTACTACTTCACGCTGGCGGCGGACGCGTGGTTCGCGAACGCGTGCGTGGCGTGGTACCTGACGGCGGCCAGCGAGTGGTCGACGGAGGCGCTGGAGCGCGCGGCGGCGTACCTGCACGCGCTGGCGTGGGGCTGGGCGGGCGCGTGGACGGCGGCGGCGCTGGCGCTGCGGCGCGTGGCGGCGGACGAGCTGACGGGCACGTGCGGCGTGGCGGACGCGGCGGCGGCGGCGCTGGTGGGCGTGCCGCGCGGCGCGCTGCTGGCGGCGGCGGCGGCGCTGGCGGC